AACATGCACCTTAAGTGGTTATGCTAAAACCAAAGTTTAGTCTGGCAAATCAAGTCATCACACCTCTAGGAATTGGGTGGTAATACGCTAATCTAGTCCATGCAAAAATTCCAGGCACTATAAACGTGTCTGCAACCTTGATTAAGAAAAAAAAAATTTTTTGCCACATGCCACACGCCCTCTTTGTTGACTCAAATGAACCGGGGAGGGGAAAAGTTGGCTTTCAAGGTTGATTTCTAGGGTCGCGCTTTTCCGTGTCACAAGGCGATACCTTTGGGCATTAGCACGTATCACTTCAAGCACACCGACTACTTTGATCCAGTAAAATGAACTTACAAGTCATTTGCCTCCATTCTTCTTGCATTTGAAGACACTGTGTCAGAACAGGCTGCTGAACCGATGATCGAAGTAGAAGGTGATCAGCAAATGTTTTGACTTCCTGTCCACGTTTTGTTGAAGAGGGTACTTGCATTGTTTGTTTGCTTCGAATAAATTTTCCGGTTTCTCTTAACTTCACGTTTTCACGCCTAGTTATTGTTGCTCTGTTTGGTACTTGAAGACATCAACAGTCTTGTAAGGTTGATCACTTGTGCACACTACTTAAGCTAGTTCCAAAGAGAATCGTCTAGTTGTAGACCTTCAAGCATCCGCATAACTATCCACTTGATGTACAAAACAAATAACCCTTCGATGAAGAAGAAGTAACGAATTCATGAGGCTGCATCTCTGGAACAGGGAGACCGGTTCTCTTCAGGGATCCGATCACACGATTGGCTCTTTCTCGGAGCCCAAATACTATTGAACGATGGCGAGTAGAAAACACACTCGAGCCCTATTGGTTATCGTGACAGCACACACGCACACAATGCTATCGGGGGTATGGAGAGCAAAATGAGCACCGCATTTTAATCCTGAAAATGTCAGCGTGTTGTCGGTACTTGATGAACGCCACAAGGCATAGAAGACGACGAACCGTCAAGTTGACGAACGTCAACGCCGGGAAGCAAACCATCACCAATGCAGTTGAGTCTATCAAGGAGCCCACAGACGTCGCTGCCGTGCTTGAGACTAATGACAACCAGACCAATGCCCAGCCTCCAGTCACCACGCAGCCGAACGACCAAGACCCCGTACGAATGATGGTTATTGCGTTACCCGGACCCGGGTACACTGTTGCGAAGAGCGGGAGTTGTCCACCACTTGACGTCGTCAATGATATTGAGGCATTGGATACGGTTTCAACAGTGACAGACAACAGTGACTCAGTATGGATGGACGAGAGGAATCGCGATTTGCGGCTAAATTCCACTGAGAGTGGGGATGAAACGTCCGGAATTTAAGAGCTTGAGTTTATTTTATTTGTCTCTTTTTATTTACTCCCCTCCCATCAATTTATCCTCTGGTTGATTGTATGTATGTTAGTCTGTATTTTTTTGTTATTTATACATGGGGAAAAGGAGGTCATTGCATTTTTGATAATAATTCAATCTCTTGCCTCCCAATCATGCCGCTGAGTTTTTCTCTACTCCCCACATTGCATCGTGTGAGGTGGATTGGCAGCAACAGTGCGGCTGACGCAATCGTGAGCTCCAGCAAACGCTATATCTGCTCAAGATTAATGTACTTACGGTGCTTCATTTCGACGTAACAGTGAGATAATGAAGAGTGTATGAATCCATCAATTTTTTGATGATGTTCCTTTGGAGCCATAGGAGCTCATAGAACGGCTTCATCAAATAAAGTCGCCTCTACCGAAGGGAGGGATATGAGGAGAGCATAGACAAGACGCTGTCTGTCT